GACACGCGATAAAAAAAAGTCGCGGTAATTTTCTGTTACCCCTTTTTTTGGGAAAATTTTTTGGGTCTTCCTTTTGATCCCCGCTATTATTTTTCGCCCGAGCGTCATTTCGGGTCGCAATTTGTCTGTGAACAGTTCGCTTTTGTATCAAATTTGTGCGTTTTAAAAATATAGCTTTGTTTTTTTCGAAGTGTTTTTAATTGCTTAACATATTTAATATTTACGTACAAGCTAGCTGTGTACATTACTTGGCGTGTAACTGCGGAGAAACCCATCATCCAACGATTCTCAACATATTTCATTGTAAAAGATAATGCCTTCTAGTTTATTATACCCGTTACTCGTAGAGTAAAAGGGTATACTAGATTCGTCGGAAAGTATGTAACAGGCAGAAGGAAGCGTTTCCGACCCCATAAAGTATATATATTCTTGATCAGGATCACTAGCCGAGTCGATCTAGCCTTGTCCGTCTGTCTGCCCGGATGAACGCTGAGATCTCGGAAACTATGGGAGCTAGGCTATTGAGATTTGACGTGCAGATTCCTGAGCTTCTTACGCAGCGCAAGTTTGTTTCAGTAGAGTGCCACGCCCACTCTAACGCCCACAAACCGCCCAAAACTGTGGCTCCTACAGTTTTGATGCTAAATAAAAATTTTAACTGAAATGTAATGTTCTTATCAATACCTATCGATTGACCCAAAAAAAAGTTTGCCACGCCCACCCTAACGCCCATAGACCGCCCACAAACTTCAAAAAATCGTAAATATGAACGTGGATATCTCGGAAACTATCAAAGATAGAGAATTGGGATTTCAGATTTAGATTCCGTAGCCTTATACGCAGCGCAAGTTTGTTACGCGAATATGCCACGCCCACTCTAACGCCCACAAACCGCGAAAACCTGTGACGCCCACAATTTTTATGCTAGATAAAAAATTTTAACTGAAATGTATTGGTCTCGTCAATACCTATCGATTAGTCCAACAAAAAATTTGCCACGCCCACTCTAACGCCCATAACGCTTAAATCTGTATAGCGCCGGTACGTGGCGCATTTTAATCTCGCTTTGCTCCTTGCATATCTCTATTTAGCTGAGTAACGGGTATCTGATAGTCGAGGTACTCGACTATAGCGTTCTTCCTTGTTTTTACTTCGACTGAACAAAAAACAATATTTGTTTCTGTTTCTTTTAGAAATGGTTATTTATAAATTTCTTATGTTGACGGAGCTAGACCTAAATAACATTGTTCAGCCAAATTTCCTACATGTATATATATATATACATATATTTTTATTCAAGTTTTTCCAATTGGGAAAGACTCTTCTAGATATCTTCTACAAGCAAATGTAAAGTCACTTCGGAGTGATTTCCAGAAGTGACTAAGGCGACACTTTTAGAAGTTGCTTCAGAGATATCGCATTCGGATCGCGTAAGTGACTCCCGTCGGGAAGACACTTCCAGAAGTGACTTCGGCGACACTTCCAGAAGTAACGCAGAAGTGACTTCGAGAAGTGTCGCCGAAGTGGCACATTTGTTCCCGACGGGAGTCACTTCCGCGATCCGAATGCGATATCGCGGACGATAGTTTTCATCTTCTAGAAGTCACTTAATAGTGCCTTCCGCGATAGAAAATGCTTGCAGGTTAGCGGGATCTATGGATTCCATAACATATAGCAGGACATATTGAAGTACTATTAGGAAACTCAATGGAAATTAATTTGTAAAATCAATGGAAGTTAATGCAGATGACCTAGTAAACCATTTCCGTGATCTTCTTGCGCCTCTAGATTGGACGCTATCGCTGACGTTGCATTGCCGTGGGTAAAAAATAAGTCTTTAGATGGATGGGTAACAGGACAAGAATTGGAAAATGTACTTGCGATGTTAAAAGAAAGAAAAGCACCCGGGCCTGACGGGATAACATCGGAATTCATAAAGACCGCTTCTCTTCAATTCAAAGCCAGCCTTGTCACTGCACTCAACAAGTTATTGGAATCGGAAACAGTCCCAAAGAGCTTTCAAAAATATATAACTTTTTCCCTATCTTTAAGGAAGGCGACCCGAAAGTGACGTCTAACTGCAAAGGAATCTCTTTTCAAAACGCTTTAGCTAAAGTCTTCTCAGCGTTGCTACTCGAGCGGCTTAAAAACTATAAGGCTAGCACAAAACGAAAAGTGTAATTTAGGGTCTATTCAGCTAGAAATTGTCAAGTCGTATAAGTACCTGGGAGTCTGGATTTACCACAACGGTCGTTTCAACAACCATTTACAGGAGAAACTTTCAGATGCAAAACTGGCCATTAACTGCACATGGAAATCGCTGCTAGGAAAAAAGGATGTTCCAATGAGTAGCAAGTTGAAGCTGCTTAGTGCAGCAATGCGGTCAATCCCTTGTTACGGCGCGTAAGTCTGGGGCATCTCACCTTATGAAGAAGTTGAAAGCCTTTTAAGATTTTCCTTAAATAAAGTATTTCGTCTACCCAGCTTTACTCCAAACAGAAGGCTATATCTTGAAAATGTTTATATAAAAATTTGTGAATCTTTTTAATTGTACCGCTTAATTAATGCTTTTTATAAAAAAAAAACTACTACTACTACTACGACTATATTAAGATTTGAATACTTTTTGTTAATCTCGTCAAGAGAAGATTCAAAAATTAAAGCAAAGTTATAAAAAAAAAGACTTAGACTCGATCAGCCTGGTGGAACATAAACCCATCATAATGTTCAAATCATCAAAATATCATCAATTGTTCTTTAAAAAATCATTAAAAAACTTATTCATTTAACATTTTTTAGTCTTCTTTTTTGTGACCCCTAGGGTCGAACTACATCAGGAACTACCATTATCCTTCTTGGGACATTTTGGCTGTAAACTAGTGGACCCAAAAAAAATCGCCCAACCAGGCTCTAAAGTACCGAAACAACATTTTAAAGGAAAGCTTTTAAATACTTAATATTCTAAATCCAACACGTAACTCAGCTCATCTAGTTGTGAAACTGATTGGTAGAACGATCTGATATCTGCGGAAGGCTAGGGAAGTCAGGTGTAGTACACTGTGCAGTTTTGACATTGGGAAAGCGGAGATCGACAGACGGTTAAAATAACCAAGTCGATATATTTTATTTCTTTTTTTGTAATCCCTTCTTGTTTATATAAAAATTTGTGAATCCTTTTAATTGTACACTTTAAATGCCGTTTAATTAATGCTTTTAATACAAAAAAAAAACTACTACGAATATATTAAGATTTGAATACTTTTTGTTAGTCTCGTCAAGAGAAGATTCAAAAATTAAAGCAAAGTTATAAAAAAAGACTTAGACTCGATCAGCCTGATGGAACATAAACCCATCATAATGTTCAAATCATCAAATCCCATGAAAATCATAGGCGATTTTCTTGATTTAAAGGCGAATTTCTTGAATTAAGGCCGATTTTTTTTGGGTGCACTAGTTTACAGCCAAAATGTCCCAAGAAGGATAATGGTAGTTCCTGTTAGAGTTCTACCCTAGGGGTCACAAAAAAGAAAACTAAAAAATGTTAAAAAATGTTGGGACATTTTGGCTGTAAACTAGTGCACCCAAAAAAAATCGGCCTTAATTCAAGAAATTCGCCTTTAAATCAAGAAAATCGCCTATGATTTTCATCAACCGGCGACTCACCTTTATTTTAAATAAATAATTTTCTTGAATTTATGGTTTGCCATTTCTGAAAATAATGACAAATTTTTCTTAAATATATGGTAAAAAACCTTAAAATTAAGGTAAATTTTCTTAAAATAAGAAAAAATTATTTATAATGTAAGATTATCTTTTTTTACATTTGAGGAATTTGGTTGGTTTTGTATACCAATTTTGGATTTTAAATGGATAAAACCGTTTCTAATTTTAATGGCAATTATTACATGGGAATATAGTCTGTAAATTTGTACACTTACCTGAATTTATTAAAGATTTATTTTATATAAATACTTTTTATAAACATATAAATAAATAACAAATGGAAAAAATCCTTACCTCAGACAACCCGAACCCGCATCTGCTCACACCATAGGCAGACGTCTTAACCATTCGGCCACGCGTGCTTCTTGTCATACAATGACTAAAGAGGGCTAATTGTTTTTGGTCCAGCTTTACGCATACCAATAACGTTTATTATAGCAACCGTTTAAACAATTTAGTAAATAGAAAAGTAAAACTAATAAGAATAAAAATTAAATAAATTTAAAAAAAAAGAAAAAGACAAACAAAGTGTAACCTTGCCGTGGCGGGGGTTTGAGCCAGGTACTTTTGTTCGATTGTTTGTTGACCGGACGTCTTTACCAGCTAGACCACCATCAAAATATATAAAAAAAGTCACTTTCTCTTAAAATATGGGTATTTCTTTCCTAAATTTAAGTAAGAATTTACCATTATTTTAAGAAAAAAAAAGGTTTACAAAATCTTTAAAAATTTCGACGCTAGAGAGATTTAAGCGTTATGGGCGCAAGAGTGGGCGTGGCACCCGGATGAATTAGCGCTGCGCAAGGATCTCTAGAAACTGAATGTCTTAACCAACATTCTCACTTTTATTGTTTCCGAGATCTTAGCGTTCATGCGGGCAGACAGACGGACAGGCGGGCATGGCTAGTTCGGATCGGCTAGTGATCCTGATCAAGAAAATATAAAATGTATGGGGCCGGATACACATCCTTCGACCTTTTTTATACTTTTCGGCGAATCTAATATTCTCTACGAGTATGTGCAACTGAGTTTAAAATGTAAATGACTTTTATTTCGACCTTGGTCAGCAGAGTAACGGGTATCTGATACTCAGGGCAGTCGATTAAACGATTTAAACATGCTTTATTTTGCAAATATTATTTTACTGTTACTGTTTACTGTACTGTTTTACTACATAAACTCTTATATATATACACAGATGATATACAACTAGATATTGGGGTCAGGACATATGAGATAAATGTTTGTATCAAGCCGAATTATTACTATATACATACATGGCAAAATATAATGGCTTGCCCAATGCTTATGCATCCGTAGATATTTTGAATTGCATTATATTTGTTATCCTCATTTTTGCATTTGACATAATATTGTTTTATATTATCCAGGGATTCTTCCTCTCTCATTAACCTGAAAAATACGTCATTGTTAAAGGGATAGATACATATATTCATAAGTTAATACATCTAATTATAAATAACTAGCTTTTCTGCAGCGACTTCCTCCACTTTTATTACAGAAAATATTACAGAAAACAATAAATAAATAATTCTGCGGAAGGATGTATTAAAAAATATGGTTTAGGCACGTTTGTTTGCTCGATTCCCACTATTCGTCCTTTTACACCGTTATCTTGTTACCCCGTTGCGATTACCTTTTTCCCCAATTGTCTATGCTCTATTGCAATATTTCCCCTTTATTCCCTTGCCATGGGGACATATTTTTATTTCAGCAGGGTTCCGCGTCCGCTTTAAAGACATTGTCTCTAAAAAAAAACATTATCTATACGTTTAAATTCCAATTCGTTTTTGAAAAAATGTTGACAAGTTTGCGCTATTGTCATTATAGCGACATTGTCCGTATAATACGCCGTACAAATACTGCTCCGGTAATATCCATTATATTTATACTTCATTCGACATTCATCAAAAAAACTTATTGAATATTAATAAGCGATCTGGCAATATCACATTTCTTTCCTATACTTTTTACACATTCGCACATAATAAGTTTACATTCTTTTATCACCCTTGATTCGCTCATTTAACAGGTTATGGTTCTATTTCACGCGTTTTTTCAAATAATTTTACTTTTGAAAAACTGAGTGGATGGTTCCAAAAATGACACTTGGCTTATCTGGTGATTAAGGGCTCGAAGAGAGTGGTACTTTTGAAGTCCCGCGAAACACAACAACAGATGCAAAATTGGAGGAAGTTAAATTAGATTAGCAGATGGTATAACCCAGTATTTTTGTACATAAAGAGATACACTTGTGATCGCTTATCCCGATAGTGATCTGACTAGACATGTATATCTTCTGAAGATAGACAAGTCTTCGTCAGTGTTTGGTCTGGATCAACAATCAAAAGCTTTAAAATAGCGGAATTCTAGGTAAAAAGAACCATTACTTCTTCCAATGTACACGCGAATGAAATGGTCGCTGCCAAAGCTTTAATGGACTCGTTGTTAAAGGATATATTGAAAAATTTAGCTTCAAGGCAGCACATTTGTGGGATAATGAAAGCCCCTAGTCTGGTGACCGGCCAAACAGAAGCCATCAAAAATAAAAGCCACTTTCTAAAAGAAGAACTCAAGAAAGTTAGAGGAATTACAGAAGGACCAGGTGAAATATGTGATAATGCCAACCAAACAAATTCTCCTCACCAACGACAGCAGCAGGTTCTACTGGAACCAAAATAAAGACCTGATGTGCGAACAAGAATTGGGCTTCCCTATCCTGGGCGCGCAGTTTCCTTCTCAGCTGTCTCTTCTAACTAAGAGCACCTTTAAGCCTTAAGGAGCCAAACCGTTGAAGAGCCAGTAGAGGCGGTCTGTATGGAATTAAAAATTACTCTCTCATATTAATAATAATTAATATCATTGTAAGCCTTCAGCAAGGTGCTGAAATTTATCTGGTTATCGACATCAACGTCAAATACATAACACACAGCCACTCAGAGAGTACGAGGTTTACTTACGCTGACCCGAAAAAAGATTATTACTTTGAACTTAAAACCATTTAAGTTTAATTGATTTACATTGCATTATGTTTTAAACAAAACTGTTTCAGGCACAACTTAATGTCATCTGCGTCTAAACACTATATGCTGGATGACAACTTTTCCTGGCCTAAAATCCATTTTTCGAAAATCGTTAAAATAAAGAATAGGATAACATCAGAAATCAATGCTACGTTACAGAAAGTTTAACAGAAGATATCGGCTGTTAAATAAGCTGTTGGCAGTGAAGGGCGCACGTGGAGAAAATAATTGAAAAAGCAACCCCTTTTAAATTATTTCAATAACTATTTAGAAAGAAAAGGCTTAACTAATTATTTGTGAACTTCAAGTGTTAAAATATAACGCGGTTTCTATGCGATTGAGTGTTTTTTGTGCCACTTTAATCTTTAAAAAATAAAAATAAGAACTTGTCTTTGAATACAGATATAAAGACAGTTTTAGTTAGTTGCACCGTAATGTCTATATAGTGTTGTAGGGATTTCAATTCTTGTTCATATGAATGAAATCTTAAGGGAATCTTCGCGTGGCAAACTTGGAAGGAATCTTTAATCTGAAATCCCAGTTATCTATCCTTGATAGTTTTGGAGATATCTGCGTTCAGGAGAAGAGGTTGGCGTTATAGTTTCTAAATCACTTAAAAGAGAAAAAAAATACAATTTTCCCTATTTATTTAAAGAGAACTATAAGTAGATTGGAAGAATTCAGCAAATAAATCTTCAGATTCGGGATCCGTAGATGCCTCAATAGAGTTTAATCGTACCGATGATGGCAATGCTAAATACTTTCGCTTAGCATTAACCAAGTTATAAGACTTTCGCTTAGCATTAACCAAGTTATAAAACTGCCTCGGATCTTTTGAAAATTCAAATTTACATTGGTTTAAACACATGGAATAGCAATGATTGTTAAGTACATTAAAAAAAATCGGATGGCCTACTCGACTTTTTGTACTTTTTATAGAAGATTGTTTTAAGGTTTCTAAGTCTTTGCAGCTCATTGTTAAGCCAAGGAGGGCTGTCTAACTTAGGAGGAAGACTATCACATTCACTAAAAGAGTTTAGTACACTATAAAATAGTTCCGTAGCACTTTGTGAAAGGTTATCAAGAAATGTCAGGGAGATTGATATCACCCAAAACAATCAAGAGATCCCCGTCGGAAAAATGAGATAGAACAGTTTTTATTGCCGACAAATGGTGCTCATAAATTATTAGGTTGGATCCAGGTGAAATACACGAATACGTTACATAAATAGAAAAATATTACAAAGAAACTTTAACGCGAACGAATTCTATGTCATCGGGATTAAGAAAGTATATTTTCTTCGATGTTAAAGTAGAGGAACCGCCAATTAGCACCCATTCCCCCCCCCTAATAGGAAAGCGATCTATACGTATTATAATTGTTGGACAGAACTTCAGAGTCTGATATCCGTTTTCAGTCTCAGTAAAGGTCAGAATGTCTTCAGAAAAAGCATTTTGATAGGACAAAAATAAACTGCTCAGCTTTTTGGGGCAGGTACTACCGTGGAAGGCCTATTATTAGTTCTCTGTCTGTTGGGGACAAATTCTTTAACGACCAGTTCATCATTAAGCCAAAAACTTTTAGAATTTAGTACTTTAAATACTTCAGGAGGAGCAGGTATTTTAAATGAAGATATCCTACGAACATATGGAAAGTTAAACACTTCCACTGAGATGGGAATTCCTGGTGTATAAATTCCAAAACATCTGCAGATGTGGTTTCGGGGGTTAAACGAGACACAAATAATTGCTTCCTATATGGAACATAAGTCCACGCAGATTCATATAGTCTTTTACTCTGCCAACAAGTCCAGTACATTTTGGATGTATGACTTTGTCGCAGAAACGACAAGAAATAAAAACGTCATTAGGTGACGATTGTTTTAAATATATAAATTTGATTTACAAATACCTCACTTAATAGTATATAAAAGTATAAGAGCGCATAGAGACTGCGAGAGCGCAAGAGAGTGGCTATTGACTGAGCGTAGCTTGCGAAACACAATTAAAATACACACGACAAAAGGTTAAAGGACAAGAAATAGAAGAGAGATTATAGAAAGCTATGGGAAACAACAACAAAAACTTTTGAAGCAAATGCACCACAGCGTACAGGAAATACAATAACAAAATGCTTAGGCCAAAAATTAACATTTAGTTTTGCTATAATTCCTATAATTAAATAGACAATTAAACAAAAACAGACAATTGAAATCGCATGAACGGAACAAGGAAGACATTCTGTAGTATAACAAATGAATTATTTAATTTATTTTTATTTATATGTTTATATTATCTTATATTAAGTTTAATATAAACATTTTTGTACGTTTACTTAAAAAAAAATAAAAATCATAAATATACTTTTTACAAACTCAAAATTAATTTTATATTTTCCAAAGTCTCGATCATAATAAAACATCTCCAATTCAACTGATTTTTAAAAAAGTTCTTTTTCAATATGTTTCTTTTTAAATTTAAGGCTATCTAATGATTCTCCATCGTTTAAATAATTAGTTTGTATCATCTCACCCAAGCAAAATGAATTAGATTCTAGCCATTCAACATTTTCTAAAATATCTTTTTCGATTAATCCCTGATGTTTTATTGATGTCGTGTTATTGTGTTCTTCATTATTTAACTCTAACAATTGTGTTTCGTTAACATTACGTTTTCTTTTGTTATCTTTGCCACAAAGAATTTTTTTATTAACTTTAATTTTGTGATCTAAACATTGTTATATTACCATATAGTGGGGTCCCAGTTAATAAAACGATTTTTTAGCGTTCAATTGTAAGATTTCGTGAACTCACTCCCTTTGCTTTATTATATGTAGATTCAACTTGATCTGTTCTATAACAAGCTAATCTTTAAAAACCCTAAACTTTTTTCGGTAACTATTTTTAAGTTATACAGATTAATTCTTTCATCTGAATAGTCCAATGTAGCAAAATTTTGTTTCAAGATCATTACGAATATTTTTATTAAAATCCTTTTTTTTTTATTGTACAGATAAATGAATCAGTATCCATATGATTTAAGTGTAACTTTTCCTGAAACTTTGGCTTCATATATTGGTAAATCATACAAATCCTAAGAACATTGGCTTATTAAATAGATCAAACAATCTTTTCATTTTAATAGCACAGAAATTATCATTTATTGTAGTTGCACTATGGAAATTGGATTTTGAAACTAAAGTTTTGGCACAATGTGCTTTTCGTCCAGTCTTGGTGCTATCCGGAGCTTCCCATGCACTAACAAGCTTAATACCGACCCTGCGCTCGGTATCTTCCATTGTTTTTCCGTAATTCATTAATTTAAAAAAATCTTTTTCAATATTATTTTTTTCATTTTGGCTATGTATGT